TAGGAAGGAAAAACTAAAATAGCAAAAATGATCACTTTCAAAATTGTTTCACAGCAATAGTTATCTCACAAAATTAGAGAAAAAAAAATCCTAAAACTCATTTGGAACCAGAAGAGACCTACAATAGCAAAGGCAATTCTGGGCAAAAAAGGTGAAGGGGGGCAGCATAACCCTGACCTGAAATTATATTACAAAGCCATAGTGATAAAAACAACATGGCACTGACAAAAAAGCAGACCTAAATATCAATGGAAGGGATTAGAAGATGCAGAAACAAGTTAAAGATATTCTTAGCCACCTTACCTCTGACAAAGGAGCCAAACACCTTCACTGGAAGAAAAAGCCTATTTAATAAATAGTGCTGGAAAAACTGGCTTTTCATATATTGAAGATATTCCTTTTTTTTTTTTTTTTTTTTAGTGTTACCAGGGATCAAACTCAGGACCTTGCACTTTCCAGGAAAGCACTTACTCTACTGAGCTATCTCCCTGGTCCCCAAAATACTTTACTTTTTCTTGGTGGTACTAGGGATTTGAAGATATTCCATATCTTTCACCATATACTAACTGAAAACTGAAGTGGATCAAAGATCTAAATACTAAAGTAAAAACACTATTATCTTCTAGAAGATAGCACAGGTGAAATTCTTACATTGGTGTAGGTAAAGACTGTATGAATAAAACCCCAATTGCACAGGAACTATCACAAAGAATCAACAATTGGGAACTCATCTTATTAAAAAAAAAAAAAAAAACCTAAAACTTTTGCACAACAAGAGAAACCACCAACAGAATAAAAAAACAACCCACAATATGGGAAAATATTTTTGCCAAATTTTTCTCAAAGGACTACTATCTATGATACATTAAAAAAAAAAGCAACTAAAGAAAGACCCGCCTCCACACAAATTAAAAAAGAAAAATCCTAAAATAGGCACCTGAAATACACATTTCTCAGATAAAGCAGAAATGACAAAAAAAATATGAAAAATGGTCAGCACCATTTGTCATTTGATAAATTAAAACAATGCTAAGATTCTATTTTATCCCAGAAAGAATGGCTATCATTATGAAATCAATGACAAATGCTGGTGGGGCTATGGGGAAAAGGAACCCTTCTTCACACTGGTGGGAGTGTAGACTGGTGCAACTACTGGGGGAAATCTATGTGGAGAGTCCTCAAAAGCTAGTACTAGAGTTTCCATTTAGCCCAGCCATTCCCCTTCTTGGTATCTTCCCGAAAGAATTAAAAGCTTCACATCACAGTGATATATGCACACCCATGTTTATAGTGGCAGTTTCTTCCCCCCTCCCTCTCCCTCCATTCCTCCCCCCACCCCATCAGTTTGTCCCTTTTTACTTGCATTTTTAAAAGGCAGGGCAATGAAATGTACAAGTGATACAGACCCTGACTGTTGAAGATGCCACTAGCCTGTATAAAAATATGGAACACTTCATTCAATTTCTGTGTCAGTTTCTAATAGCTGAATCTTGGAAACAGTCCAAATGCCCTTCAATTGCATGGATAAAAAGATGTGGCTTTTTTATGTAATGGAGTACTACTCTGCCATAAAGAAGGATAAGCAGAGACATTTCCAGCTACATGAATACATCTTCAGGGGATACTGTTAAGTGAAATAAATTTGACACATGTGTAAGTACTGTATTTTTTTGGGGTGCTAGAAACTGAAAGTGTAAATAAGCACTAAAATATATAATACTGTGAAATAGGAAGAAAATGTTCATATGCTAAGGGAAAGTGGGAGGGGTAATGACAAGAAAAAATTGGAAACAAAGCTTCTGTGAATAAGGAAGGGATGAGGAGGTTAAAGAGATGTAGGGGAATGGAGAAAAAAAGAATAAAGTTATACCATGGACAGTTATACCAAACTCCCTCTGAAGAACGTGATCATTATGTATACCTAAAATGTACTAACTTAATAAAAAAATTTTACAAGGGATCTTAATAATTCTATCATATTAGGGCTCAAATGCTCATAATTTCACTTAACTTTAATTACATGCTAAAACTCTACATCCAAATACAGTAATATTAGGGGTTAGTAATTCAACATAGAAATTTAAGACTTCAGTCCCTAGCAAATTCTAAAACTTCTTTTTGAAAATTTATGGATTTTCACTAACACACCCACGCGCACGCGCGCGCACACACACACACACACACGTGCGCACACCGCAACCAGTGCAGCCGTCTGGGACCTGACATGGGGCAGGGGCAACAGGAGATTAAGAAAACTCTACAGACACATAATAAAGGTCAGCTGCAACCAGAAGGGACCTCTCTAATGGAGAGGCAGCAACAACCCAGCAGTCTGTGTGCTTATGTATAACACAGTAAAAAGGGGGGAAGTGTGTGATGGGCCAAATGTGCAAGGTCTCGGTGAGAACACTGAACATGAAACATTCTTAGAGCTATATATGTTGTAGGTAAGCACAGAACACTAAGGCCAGGCACCTGCTGGAATGGCTTTGCTCTAATCCCAATGACTTGTTTACCTGGCTCACTTCGTGTGCTCTGTATTCTTGTGGATGGCCTGGCTGTAGCCCTGAATGTGTGACTGGCTAGCTCAGCCACTGTTGCCCATAACATTTAGTGTAAAAATACTGCTAATTTTGAGGAATATATTTGTCAAGTCACTTGAAGAACAATTACATCAGCAGATTACAAAATTTAATGCATAGAAAAATAACCTGGAGAAGCTACTCAGTTACAGATTGCTATGCTCCAGCACAGACCTGTAGTTCCATCCAAGGATGAGCCCAGGAACTTTTATTTAATATACCTCCAGGGACTTACATAGAGGTGGTCTAAAGATGACCTTTTCCAAAACAATTACATGGAAGCTTGAAAGAAGTCATCACGAGAAATTCTAAACTTCTCAAAGTAGGAGATCTCTTCGTCCTCTGTGGTAGTTTATATGCACCGTTCAGTTGGGAATTAGTCACACAGTGCCTTGTGATATGGCTTCTATTTTTGTCAAGAGGTATTTAAATCCTGACTTTTAAAACGAACTTTTCAATACTTAAATTTTCTTGTCACCCTGAAGGGTTTAAGAATTTCTTAAAGCAGAGATACCCTAGTACTACATAACAGTCCCAGAAGACCTGACAGAGTAGGTGAAAAATCTGTTGGATTTGCTCTGATTTACAACTTTTAATTTTAAAAATTATCAAAAAAAAAACCACCTCATTCTCAAAGGATTGTTAGCTACAGAGTCAGCTCTGCTTGGTATGAGCAAACAAATGTGACATTAGGGAAAAATAGGTATTTGGGAGAGTGAGGCTAGATCTCAAACAAGTCTGGCTTCAAAAGGCTACAGTCTTAGTGCCCATAGCACCTCCACCCACTATGGGAATGAGGCACATGGGGAAGTCCCCATGATAAGTATCCAATTTTCAAAGTTCAGCTTTACTGCTTATGATGTTATATCGTAACACTGACAGCACAATCTGTCACAGATGCTGAGCAAACAATGCACAGCAAACATGGAGTAACTGCATAAAGTACAAGCGTAGGTGACTGAAGCTGAGGGGAAACAACCTCACCGCACTATGACTTTGCATGACTCTAGGTATGCACATATCACTGTAGCTTTAGAGACATCATAAAGGACTTGGCCAGGTTACTGAGTTAAGAGTGATGGTCTAAGGTAGTGGAACTGTACAAATGAACTAATGAAAATGAGTCTAATCTAACCAAACTGATGCTATTTCAAGGTCAGGAGTTTAGAAAGCACCAAGGGTATAAAGATTAACTACTTTTCTCTCTCCCGGCCCACAGGATTCAGGCGTAGACTTCAGAGCACAATGCCCAGTGTTCTGATCAGGACACCACCAGGCCATGACTGGCTATGGGCAACGAGGACAGTGCTATTCATTCTGTAACAAGGAATATTTCACTGAGATGTGCTGGGCTAGGACTAAGTGGTACAAAGTCTGGGATCATGGAGAGAGGTATGCAAGAGCATCTTCAGCTGGGCAATGATATTCACTGATACTTGGTTCAGGACTAAAATGACCCCCAAAATTCTTATTCAGACATGGGAATTTTGGAAGGTGACTGGGCAATTGGGAGTGCTACACTCAGTGAATTCCTATTATCCTCAGTGAGTTCAAAGGTGAATGTGCAGTTAGACTTAGGACCTGGTTGGAGGTGATACAATGAGAAGTGGAAGATATGACCTGGAAGGGTATGCTCTTGTCCTGGACTCCTTCCTTCTCTCTCTGCTTCCTGACTGTCATAAGGTGAGCAGATTTCCTCTGCTATGTTCTTTTACAGTGCCATTTCTGCCTTGGAGCCTGCCAAGTATAGACTGAAACCCTCAAGCCATCAGCCAAATTAAACTTTTTTTTTTTTTTTTTTTTTTCTCCAGGTTGTGGGTATTTTGTCCCATCAACAGGAAAACTGACTAATACAACTGAGCAGTGATGATTACCACAGGAGGGAATTTTAGAGAGACAGTGATTCATCACATCAAAACCTTTGGGATGAGCAAGTTAGCTATGGAGCAGCTAACAGTACATTAGCGGGGGTCACAAACAGGCTGAGGTTTAGGAACAGGCTGCAGGTTTCAAAATATTAATTTATCATTTACTGTAAGAGGGAAGGAACATATCTTGCTATTTTTAAATTGTCTCAATACTGTGTTATAGTACCTAATGTATGCTTAATCAGTAACTGTGAGAGGACTTGCCTGGTGCTAGCAAGACTGTGCCAGCTTCCATTTGACTATCACAACCTCTCGTACTTGATGCCTATGAAAGACTTTATTTAAAAAAAAGCCTGTTAGAAGGATATCTAAAGAAGTCTTCATTTAAATGGGATCTGAAATGTAGTAGTTTAAGGATATTTCATGCTAGCCCACACATTTTCACACTTCATAAACAGGATTCTCTGTGTGGTTGTTAAGGTCTACAAACAACATTAAGGTCTACATCCCACAATCATGCAAAAATACCATCTTAGTCTGAGAGACCTACCTGACTTGCTGTCTGTCCGTGGGTCCATGATGACAAACTCTGGCCGTAGCTTGCTGACACGCCTCCCCTTAAGGATAGGTACAAGCCCGCCTAGGTACTCCAGGTAGAGTGTGTAGCATGGGCCACCCACCTCTGGGTCATCCTCTGTACGCTTCATGGTGCAATGCAGCCGCTCATTGCCAGCTGAGGGGTAGCTGACAAAGTCTCGCATGTTGTTGGGGTCTGGAATTGGGGGCTAAAGTAGGACAAGGGCAGAAAAAGACAGATGGAATTCCAGAGACATACAGAGAGAAACAGAGAAGGTATTAGGCAAGTCAGTTAAGAAGTCACTGTCACTTCAACAGAACACAGGCTGGTACCTTGACAGAGGTTAAATACGTGGCATATTTTACCATGTGAACCAGCCACAGCGGTTCACAATGTGGCTGTACAACATCTGCTTAATATAATGTAACATAATGTAATATCAGGGCTGAGAACTGCTGGTGTGCAATTATTATTAAGGTAACTCAGAAAACAAGCACAAGAGATTTCAAAAGTTTGATGTAAAAATGAGAAAGGACTAAAACAAATGAATGTGTTACTTAGAAGTTAATGAAAACTCATGAGCAGCAACTGGTAGTTCTACCCTATATGCTGCCACAGTTTCTGAAGATATAGTCTGTATAAATTATAATGGCACCTGTCCTGTATAGGGGTTACCCTTTAGCACAGAGGAGAAGTAAGGTGGCCTTAGAATTGGACTAAATCCAATCTTGACTATTCCTTTATCTAGGGGGTAAGTTACTTCAGTTTTACAAATGTGTTTCCTGCTTTTTCAAATGAGAAAACTGTTAGCATCTGCCTGAAGTCAGGACTGACTTAAACAGCTTTGACCAAGTACTTTTGGGGCCAGGGAGATAGCTGATCCCTGATACAAAAAAAAAAAAAAAAAAAAGTGGCGGTGTAATGTTTAGTGTACAGGAAGTACTAAATGTTCATTCTTTTGATCATCCGAATGATACAGGAGTCAAGCTGAGAGAAATATGTGGCCATAAGAATGATAAAGCCCATCACATTAGATAAATCTTACACAGACACCAACAGGAATGCTAAGAGTAGAATGTAGGCATGGATCTTCCATGCAGGCAGCCATCTCTAGGCATTCTAGTAGAAAAGCAAAGTCCTATGCTTGTGCTCTGGTATCCTCCCACATCAATTCTGTCTGCCCTCGTCTTGGCTTGGTGAGTAGTATGTGGCAGACAGAAGAGGAAGAAGGATCAAAGAGGGTAGAAGACTTTACCTTAATGGTGGGGATGAAAGCAGTGGAGAGGTAAGAACAGAGGCGGGGGGGCAGGGTCAGCTTGCTGACATCTTTGTCTTCTCGCAGAGTGCTGGCTATGGCCTGCTGGCACAGCAACTGTAGGCTGGACACACGATGCTCCACACGAACTACATATAGGGCTGGCCCAGAGGCCATCAGTAGCCGTGAGTCTCGATGACCCCAGCAGATGGAGATGATGGGGCGCTGCCAGGCAGTGAAGGGGAGACAGTGTTTAGACTTTTGCTCTCTAGTGAGCAAAGGATAGTAACAAACACAGGTCTCAGGCTGACAGTTTTGAGAATACTGGTTAAAGAAACAATAGAGAATGTTAAATAGTATATTATGAAAATTGAGTATTTTTCCTGAAAAGTAGTTAGATCTGAGGTCTGAGCATAAATAGAGGACTAGTATAGTTCTGTAATGTCTATAACATATATTATTTAATTTAGTGTCACAAATCTTAACTTAGCTCTGTATAATGGCGCTTCTACTAATAGAAGCAATCACTGGGGCATAGTCACCTATGTTTTCTACTGAAGTGCTGGTTATCTGGATCCACACATTACTCAGTGATGGTTCCCATGGCTTGGGGAGTGGTGAGCAGGTAGACCTGATGGCTCTTCTCTTCTGTCCCTAGACATGGGGTCTCCAGCTCTGTGACCTGGGGACTATTACATGGTCAGAAGACTCCCACTTTTCTCAGGAGTCAAATGGGACATGAAGATTAAAGGAGATGATGGTGTCACAGTGTTTCTGGAACCCATCACAGGCTAAAACCTTGATACTAAGTCATGCTGTTCTGTCATCCTCCAACTGACGGGGCAGGAAAGACAAGGAGAATTTTCTGGACTGGAGAGAGATGGGGGGATAAAGATCCTGTGGTGGCTCATGAGGGGTAACTGGCTATCATTTACATTGAAAAAGCAGGTTGAAATCCAAATATGCATGTCAGAAACTTCTTGTACTAAACCCCTCAAAACTCAAGAGGTGCTATTTAAGTAAAGTCAGCCAAGCAAGGAAGAAAGAGGTGGAGAGTTTCAATGGAGCAGCAGTGAGAGATTCATTGATTCCAATCCAGACAGATGAAGCACTAGTTTAATGAAGTCTTAAGGGGTTTCAGAGATCAGAAGTGGGAATGCTAGATCTATTATATGAATGACAGGAACAGAATTTTCACAACCCTTTAGTGACAAGCATCAAGATAAAAGGAGCTGTGAAGATATTTCCCTTAAAATAGCCTCCAGGGTCACTTAATCCTGGTTTCAACTTAAAAGCACAAATGCGAAAGCGAATATAATCCATCTTGCATTTCCATCCATGAATCTTGGCAGCTGGAGAGCAAGATGATGGTCTGAGCCTCCAGTCCCTCTCTAACAAGGAGGACACTGTGATTGTTGGCTGTGAAGCCTAGAACTCCATCAAATATGGGGGCTTCTGGAGCACATCCAAACTGGACTTCTCATGAGATGATCCCATACAGAATGGCTTATTTGTTTACAGAAAGGCATAATCACTGCTGAAGACAGGGAAGACCAATATATTAAAAATATACAAAAAATTTTTCTAGCATTATCAAGCCCTATTAGCACCAAAATCATACTTAATCTTTTTCTAGTGGTATTGCAATGGAACTCAGGATCTCCTGCATGCTATGCATGTACTCTGCCACTGAACTACATCTACATGCCTCATGCTTAATCTTAAAGATATATTGCTGCCCTTTTATCCCTTAGTCCCTTAATACAATAATTTTAATTAGAGCTCAAGTTATGAAAACAGTTATCACTCAGCACAACCTGACTTGTTCAAGCTGGCTAAAATAGTCCAATTTTCCATTTCTCTTTCATTGATAAATCAATCTATCATGCCAATGGTCACATGCCAGGGAGTATTAGATTTATCTTCCTGTTCTGCTTCTAGTTCTGCTTTTCATAGTAACTACCTCTATGTAACAGCTGATTACATGTTTTATGTAAAATGATGTTACAATAACACATTAAATGCTCTCATACATCTCACTCAGTTCCCTCAACTCTAGTATGGAGATATTATTTTCACTTAAAGCGTAAGGAAACTGAGGTTAAGAGAGGATGGGAAATTAGTCATAGAGAATTGGGAAAGCTATGATTCCCCCGCTTCTCCAAATTCATAGGTGATATGTATCTTATTGGAAGGTGCTGCCTCTCTGACATGTTAGTGTTCTGAAACAACAGCCTGAATAATATACATTGCCTCACTCAAAATTTTAACTGTTGGGCCAGGGAAAGCGCTCAGCAGCGTAAGTACCTGCCTGGCAAGCACAAGGTCCTAAGTTTGACCCCAATATGAAAAAAAAAAAAAAAAGAAAATCAATGGTCAATCACAAATAAAGTCATGAATCCACATTCTTCCCCTTGTCCACTTGGTCAAGGCTACTTTACTCACAAACAAACCAAACAGCATGTCTCCAGAAAGGTAAATGGACAAGAGGAGAAATAGGCTTCAAAAGTGAATGGATGACCTGACTGATTCATTGTGGCAAAAAGGAACCCATACGCAAAGACAAATTATCAGGTAGATCTCTAGGTAGTATAAAAAATCAGTAGGGTGGTATGTCTGAATGGTGAAGGAAGATAGTACTGTTCCAAACTGGACACTGCATAAACATGAAAAACAGACTCTTAGCCAAGAAGGAGAGCACTTCAAAGAATAAAGTACTGAAAACCAGAACTCCAGATAAAGGAGCTGAAATTATTTTTCCTAGAGAAGTGATGTTTACTCAAAGGAATCTATCTGGAGCAAGGTTAAGAGGAAATCCCGTCTTCTAAAAACACAGTATCAACAGGCATTTATATTAAATTAACTGGAGGTTTAGGCTTACTTATTTGTTCTAGTCACTGATAGTTTATTCCAGCAAGGAGAGGATACATTATTTTAGTTTTTATGGCACGTTTCATATGAGAAGATAAAAGCAAATGCTGGTACTTTTTTCATGGAAATATTTTTTAGTATATATGCTGTTGAGGTGAGAATTTATAATGATAATTTTTAAGGCTGAATTAGAATGTAAAAGAATTCATAGATAATGAGTAAGTTGCTCCGCTTGTCTGAAGATTTTGAGGCATGACAGATGCGGGGAAAATGACTGTGATTACCATTTAGTCAGAAACTCAGTCAGCAGGGTTATGACTTCTCCTTGTTAAGTCCTTTAAGTTGTACAAAGACCTTACTTCGTAAAAATCATATTTACTGCTCTGTTTAGTGGCACTGTGGGTCATACAAGCCTATATCACAAGCATTCTGCAGTTCTGTAAGGAACCAGAGTTATCTTTTCTTTTTTTTTTTTTTATTGGCAGAACCGGGGATTGAGGGGCTGGTGAGATGGCTCAGTAGTCTAAAGCACCTACTTAGCAAAGCACAGGGACCACGGTTCAATCCCCCAGCACCACATGCCAGCCAGCCCCGCCCCCTGGTGGGCTGAGCTGGCCACACACACACACACACAC